ATGCCAGCCCACCCCTCCTCCCCCTGCAGTGCCTCCCACAAAGCAGCAGTATTTGTGCCAACCGTTGCTGGATGCTGTCCTTGCCAATATCCGCTCGCCAGTCTTCAATCATTCCCTGTATCGGACTTTCATGCCGGCCGTGACCGCCATCCATGGCCCCCCAATCATGTAGGTGTCACTGTTTGACTCTTGAAGGAGGAAGCAAGCAGATTTCAGATGGGGAAAGGTTTCGGGAAGCGCAGCGGGGCTTAAGCGTTTGGGGACCTCTTGGGATTTGCCATATTTCTGCATAAAGGTGATCTAAAACATGTCCTGTTACGCCCTCCCTTGTCTTAATTAAAAATAAGAAAAATAAAAATCAAGTTTGCTTAATTGTGTTTACAGATGGTCCTCAACTTACATCCACAATTGAACCCAACATTTCTGTTGCTAAGTGAGACAGTTGTGTTTTGCCTCATTTTATGACCTTTCTAGTCATAGTTGTTGAGTGAATCATTGCAGTTGTTAAATTAGTAACATGGTTGTTAAGTGAATTTGGCTTCCCCACTGACTTTGCTTGTCAGGAGGTCGCAAAAGGGGATCACACGACCCCGGGACCCTGCGACTGTCCTAAATACATTGCCAAGCGTCCGAATTTAGATCACGTGACCCTGGGGAGGCTGCTTTGGTCACAAGTGTGAGGAAAGGTCCTGAGTCACTTTTTTCAGTGCTGTTGCAACTTAGAAAGGTCACTAAATGAACTGTTGTAAGTTGAGGACTACCCGGATATCCTGGGGCAGTCAGTCGTTAACGCTTGGCTGCCTGGATGGCCCTCTCGTTGCCCAGGGCTCCGGCGCCGTCCCCTCAGAAGCGGAAGTACGAAGATGATGAAAGGCAGACCATCCCAAACGTGCTGCAAGGGGAGGTGGCGAGATTAAACCCCAAGTTCCTAGTCAACCTCGACCCCGCCCACTGCAGCAACAATGGCACAGTCCATCTCATATGCAAGATAGGTGAGTGGCGAAGACGGCGGCCTTCAGGGTGGACCCACTGCAGGGTCTGACCCCCCAAGTGCCAGTTGGTGCCCAGCAGGGGCGGCAGCTGAGGCCAAAGGGGACTTGGGGACGGTGGAGTAGGAAAGAAGGGTTAGCACTTTTGATTGATGTACAAAAAAGCTTTCAGGTTGTTCTTGCAAGATTTCCCCCAAAAAACAAATGGCACATCTGGTTCCAGATGACAAGAACCTTCCGAGCGTCCCTCCGCTGCAGCTCAGCGTCCCGGCCGACTACCCGGACCAGAGCCCCCTCTGGATTGACAACCCTCAGCAATACGGTAGGGCGTTGGGGGCCGGCCCTTCTGTGCTCAGCTGCTCCGAACCCTCCTCCCCTAAGCCGGTGGGGGGAAATCCTGGAATCACACTGTTGAGCCAAAGACCTTTCAGAATCTGCATGATGATGGGGGGGGGGGCTGAGGGGGGCAGAGAGCAGGTTGGGCAAAGAAATTGCTTCCAGAGAGTAATGCTTCATTTTTAAAGAAGGAAGCAATCAGAGGAAGAACCACCTTTCTCTCCTCCTGGTTATTCAGGGCATTGCGACGCACACAGCCTGTCATTGTGCCTCTTCTTGTAATGTTGTCTCCCTTTGCAGAAGCAAACCCTTTCCTGCAGTCGGTGTATCGCTACATGATGTCCAAATTGTTGCAGCTGCCGGACAAGCACTCGGTCACCGCCCTCCTCCACACCTGGGCCCAGAGCATCCGGCAGGCCTGCTTGTCTGCTGCTTGACCGGCTGGTCGGGCACCGGAAACAAGAGCCTCTGTGGGCTCAGAGCTGGCCTTCCTGCTTGCGCTGCTTCTGCCTTGGCGCCTGGCCAGGCTCTTGAGGCCTACGGGAATGTCCAGTTTTCAGGGGAGGGTTAAAAATGCCTTTGCAGAGAAGAGTTTGTGGAAAGCGAACCGGGTCCCAGGAGCCCCCCTCATGGAAAGATGGGCAGCCGGTCCAGTGCCAGCCCTGCCCTCAGTCGGCAGGAGGACCCCCTGCGCTCTGCTTCTCACAAGGCATCAAGTGGGGGCCGGTGGGGGTCTACCAGGGATCGGGACCTCCGGCTTTTAATACTCAAGTTGATGTTTCTGAGATTTCAGTTTCAGGAATTGGACTGTTTGGACACCCCCTTCCCCGCCTTGGCAGCCTTTCTGAATGTTGGCATTGTTAAGAAGGCATCCTGGATGCTGCCTCTTGTGTCAATCTCTGCGCACTCTGCCATTTTGAAGATTTTCAAGTAATTACTTTGCAGGATGCTGATTAATTGTAGTACAACAGGTGCAACCTTTCAGATACGAATCATTGCATTTGTTTTATTGTAATAAATCTATTGTTACAGTATTTAACATCCAGGCTTTTTTGCCAACCAGGCTTGTATTTTCACAAATCCCTTTGATCTAAGCAGGCTTGCCTGTATTTGGCCTCCAAGCTCCAACTGTGGTATTAAAGGCAGAGTAAACCGCTGCTTTTGAAGACAAACCCGTCTTAGCAATTAAGCACTATAACGGTGGCTTTCTGCAGTGTAGTGAGCATGAAAGCCGGCATACATACAAAGTCTAACAAAAATCAGGTGAGGGGGAAAGGCCTCAGAAACAGCCTGAGGGGCTCTGAACGGCGTTCCCAGGGGCAGGCAGCTGCGGAGTTTCCTGGCTACAGGGCGGTCCTGTGCAGCCTGTTCCTCTGAACGGCTTGTGCTCGCTTCTGCCGCTCAGCAAAGGCGTTCCCCAGCGTCTGCTTCAGGGCGGGCAGCACGGCTCTTTCGGCAGCAGGCAGTGGGGTCAGGATCCGGCTGGAAAACAAAGCGGGCCTGTTGAGGGCCGAGGGGAGACTTCAAGGGGGGCGCCTTTCCTTAAGGGCTTGTACGGGACTCAATTTTCAAGCAAAAGCAGCTATTCTCAAAAGCCAACAAAGGGAAAATGCTCAAAAATACATTTTTATTGGGGTTACATCAAGAATAATGGGTTGATATCAGCATTAACATGTTTTGGAATATGATGATTGGACCAGGAAAGAAACAGACTTGGTCAAAAGCTCCTTTCAGCTGTGCAGACCAAGCGCACAACTGCATACAGGTACACTTCCAAACAAGCAACCCAGCTCTATTTCAAATTTTCTCCGTTATTTTAAGGTCTGAAGTTTTTTAAAAGTTCCAAATTATTATTTTCAAGAGGCAGAAGGCAAAGCACCGTGTTTTGTCTTGCCCAGATGTGGATGTTTTTCTATGATCTTAATTGTCTGCATTTGGTATTTTTCTACAAGTAAAGACCAGAACTTGGAAGCATTTCTGTTGCTGAACTGAGATATTTCAGGTGTGCAGTGCAGAATTTTAATTTCATAATACTAATTAAGGGGGGATATTAAAAGGGGCCTGTGTAAAGCCAGAAAGCCTGCTTACCATTTCTTTGGGGCGTTCCTCACTCTGGGTAACTTTGTGCTCTCCTGGCTCCTAAACAAAAGGGCTCGGATAAGTTCCTCAAAGGGAGGCAGCCCGCCAAAGGGTTTTGGCCCGGAAACCTTGCCCGGCCCCTTGGCAGAGAGTTCCAGCCAGCCAGCTGAAGGGAGCCCGCGGTCGGCCTTGGCTCTTGTTGAAAGAGCCAGCAAAGAGAATGCCAGAGACCAAGGGGCTGCAGAGGATCAGGTGGGCTGGGGAGGGGGCACGTTCTTCCTTCAACCACAACTTCATAATCACTATGAAGACAAGACAACAAGCTAACAAACATTACAAAGAAGCCCATGCATTGTGTGTGTGCCCTGCCCTGAACCTGGCATCAAAGTGGGCAGAACCCAATCTTTGCCTTTTCACCCCACTATCACCAAACCAATCCCAGGAAGAGAATTCCGTGGCTGTATTTTTCCAAGGTCCAATGGAAATTACCATGAGAGCCAGCATGATCCAGTGGGATCCTTAACTCTTAACAACTGGAGCTCACAAGGTGTGTCTAGGTTGCTTGGCTCCAACACAAGAGCCAGGTGGGAAGGGTAGTGGTGAAGAGGCTGGAGTAGGAGGGTGGACCCAGTTCCAGCCTCTCCTTGGCCATGGATTTCCCTGACGGGGGTGTGTGTGTAGGCCAGCCTCTCCTCCCAGTCCAAGAACGAGAGTCCTGAATTAGGACCAGGGAAGGTTGAATTGGCCAGAACATAAGCAAATCAGGTCAATTCTGTGGGACTCGCCGAAGCAGAGCGGAATCAGTTACGGGGTAGATGTGGCATCTAACTTTCTTGCTTAAGAAGTGACCCCTTTTTCTTCAGTGCCACATTCAGGACCCTGGAAAAAAACCTGGAGTCAGAGACCACAGGGGTCTTCTTAAAACCTGTGAGGAAAAGTATTTCCTAAAATTTGAGAAAGCAATTGGCATTTACCAATCAGTCCTCTCAGTTGGGGGGGGGGAGTAATTGCACAATGCTGATTTCAGATTCTCCCTTGGCTCCAGAAAAAAGTGTGTGCCGGACCTTTCAACCTTCAGCTCTGAAACCAGCTTACCCAAGTTGACCAGCTAACATGTAATCTTCAGGAATTCTTTTGGTCTTGTGTATATCATCCAGGCATGATCTCAAGTACATCAGCTGTGGGAAGAGAGGAGAAAACGGCTCTTGTAGAGCCCTCCCTGAGTCCTGCCCAGGGCATCTTTGGCACCCCAGTAGGCAAAGGTCTCACCTCTTGCATCTGCATGTGGTTAATGTTCCACAGCTGGCGAATCACCACCTCACATTCCTCCAGGCTGGGGGGCTTCCGCATGTAGGAAGGTAGCACGTTCACCAAGAAGGGGTTGGACGATGCAGCCGGGATTCTCACGTCTCCAGCCCTGCTCTGGCTTGCCGAGGGACGAGGCAGAGACAGCGGTGACATCCTCCGCTCGCAGACGGCCACAATGTCTCTGCAATGCCAGGCAGGGCAAGATTAGCGCTGGAAAGAGTCAAGCACAGCCTCCACAAGGCTGTCAAAGTCAGGACTCTGAAAAGTATAGACCCTCTAAAATGAATGCTGGTCACCCTTTATCACAAAAAGCTCAAGTCATTACAAATGTGGACAACAGAACAACACTGTTGTGTTAAACTGTAAAAACTAAAGGTTAATAACATTCCCACATTTAAAAAAACTAGGAGCTTAAATAAATACAATTATTTCTGTTTTCTTGTATCACCAAAAAAGAGGGCTTAAATTAAAAATTCAATCTAATCAAATTTAGATGAGAACCAATAAGAATGATCTAGGTAGAATGTGACTCCAATCCCCCAACACATAAAATCATTTAATAATTTAAAATATGAATACAATATATAAAGAGATTTCTAGATGAAAGATGGGGCAAGTTTAGTAGAAAGAATATATTCCCTAGAATATTATATATCTGACATGCAAGTCCTGTGTGTGTGTGTATACATACACACATACACAATATACTTCAAAATTAAATTGAGATATTTAATATGTTTCATAAATTCCGGTGAGGAACTTCAATTCCAAAGACATTTTTAAAAGATGCCCGTCTATTAGATGTTTCCAAATCTTGTCAATTAGTGTTTTTCAAATCTTACTGTATATCAAATCTTACTGTATATTTGTTAGCCACATCTGTTGGCTAGGGCTAAATTTGGGACCATCTGCTTAGTTGAAATTTTTCTTCTGGGCCCCCTCCAGAACATTCATATGTGGTATGTTAAATAGATTCTTGGAATACAAGAAATGGGTTTCAAAGTTCCTCTTATCATTACAATGATTTCATGATTTCCAGAAAAGCACTTTTGTTCTTCTTTTCCCAACCTACATTGATGCCACATACGAACTAATCTACATTTCAGAAATAATTTTAAAAATGAATACATGGAAGATCTGGATAGAAAATGGGTTTAAGCTATGGGTTGATTTTGAGAATGATTGTGCTTTTCTCATTTTCTGCTGCAAAGGACAAATGCTTGCCTGCTATTGGCCATTACATCATCTCCAGGCACCTTAATTGGAATATGCATAATTTTCAGCCTTCCAAAAGCCTAATCTACTCCAAGTGGCAATTAAATCCTTTGACAAGCTACAATTACCCTTCAGAAGAATCTGGGAGATACGAGAGCTTTTAATGGCTGAATGGAATGAAAAATGAGGGATTTCTATTTTGCCTGGCCAGTGGAAAGAAGTGTTAACAAACAAAACACTGATGGTAGCAAAAACTTAGAGAGTAGATAATGTCTACTTGGACAAAAGGTATCTTGGAGTTGTTTAGCTCCAGGCTTGAGCAATTTTTCAAATTGTTGGAAATAAGTGTATCCTTGTAGTTGCTCCATTTCTGCATAATATTCCATGCATTTATTCAATATAGGAAGAGATTTATCTCCAGGCAGTTCTTTCCTTGCAGTTGTTGGGAGAAAAGGTGTGATTGCTCCTGTCTGTGGAATGAAAGCCTCCAGTGAGAGTTTAAGCAACATGCCAGGATTGGATGTCGGAACGCTCCCAACTAAAATTCATCACTGAATGCAGGTTGCTTATGGTGAGGACGTGAATCCACTTCCCCTCTGAGCCAAGACAGCAAAGATGGTGAACCAAGAATTTATTGGTTTGAAAAAGAATGAAGTAGATAATCTATGACAGCAACTTATCAGTTTCACATGAGAAAGGGTCATGTACTGATTCAGACAATCAAAGGGAATCTGTTCTCAAGCTTGGAATTTCATGGGAATTTACAGGTCTTGTTATTAATGTTCTTCAGTATTGGGAGGTTTGTGCATTTGAGTTGCTCCCACCTAGATGACAGAAATGAAAACTTGAAGTGAGCAATTGTCACATAAAAATGAAGGTGAGGAATTTCTTCACGGCATCATAACAGCCGACAAAACAAGGGATCGTTGTTAGGACCCACAAAGTGCAAGTCCATGGAATTTCATCAGAAAACGTCATGTGAGGGGGGAAAAGAATTCAAAGTCCAGGAAAATTCAGGGTTATACTTTTTGAGAATGTAGATGGTGTTTATCACATGAATTCCCTAAATCCAACATCTCTATCAGCTCAGAGTTCTATATGTAAGGCTCAAAAGAGGAGTTTGCAAAGGAAAGTTAATTTTGCTGCCACACAATGCCAGGCCTCACACCTGGTGTGAGCCACCGAAGCCACAAACTTGCATCTCACTGGCTTCCTCCATCCACCACACAGCTCAAACCTGGCACCATGAGACTTCCACCTGTTCTCAAAACCTTCCTGGGTATCTACTGGACTTGAATGAACAAAAGGAAAGAGGCTGGTTGAAAAGATCAAGGGTGGCGTTCCTTTGCGATGGTTTTAAGAGACCTGACCATCAGTGGTAGAAATGTGTAGTGAATGGAGGTGACTCTATAGAGAAATAAATGCAAGGAAAAAAGCTAATTTATAAGGGCTATTTTCCTGTTTATATAGTAAAATATTCCTGATTTAAGATAATAATGGCAGCAGAGGCAATATTTTTCAATCATCCCTAGTGCATTGCTCCAATTACTCAACGGTCTGCAGAACTATTGGATCAGCTATGGATGATTATGATGAACTATGACTTCCATTCACTGAAATGCCTTTATATGTGAATATATGTTTCTCTGTTTCTTCTTTGTAACTTTGTGTATATTTCTCTTGGTTTTTCATAATCAAAAAAGGCAAACACAAAAACACCCTCCTGGAATTACCAGTCGGCCACCCCTCCCCCCCCCAGTTCCACTCGAAGAGCCGGAAGCAGCCGGGGGGGGGCTTTTCTGCCAGCCGAGGGAAAGCGCGGGCAGCTCTTGCGAGCACATCTTGACCAGCAGCCTACTCAAGGCTTGCACGGAAGCCTCGGTTCACACGTACAAAGCCGGACTTCAGAAGTTCATCAACACGGAACAAGAGCTCTCTTACGACTGCCCGGCCACCCGGGTCAGCAGGTAGTGCAAAGCCGATTCGGGGGCTTGGGGGACTCCGGAGGGGCAGCGGGGCCAATTCCCCCCCCCCAGGGAGGATCGCGGGGGTCTAACCGGCTCCGGACCGGCCAGCAGAGCCTCTCCCCTTCCTCTGCTCATCGGCGCACGGAGAGAGGCGGCCGCTTTTGCACCGGGGCAGAAACGGCGCGGCCAGCTGGGCTCTCCCACCTGCCCGGGGCTGCCGCCGCCGCCGCCGCCTGAAGCTCCGGACTGAGGCCGTCGGCGTCCCTCTCCCACTCGGGGCTCCCCTCCGGGGCCGCCTCCTCTTCGGCCAGGGGCTCGCCTTCGCCGGCCTTCTGCTCCGGGGCCTCCGCATCTGCAACAGGAGGGAGACGCCGCGGCGCCCGCTCGCAAACCCGGGCAAAGGTGGCAACCGAGGCGGAGCAAAGGCCGCTGCTCGCCAAGCCCTCTGCGGCCTCCGGCGGCGGGACTGGCCCTTCCTTCCACGGGTCAGCCGGCCGGGCCGAGGGGAAGCGGGCTCCGGCCGGCCCGGCTCCGGGCGCGAAGGCATCCGACGGACCGGAGCTCCCGAGCGGCCCGTCCCGAGGAAGGCCGAGCGGTGGAGAGCCTGAAGGGACGCGGCTCCTTCGCTAGCTGCCCGCGAGGCCGAATCAGAGCCCGGAGCGACGCTATTCCGCGGCGGCGTCCGGCCGAGCGAGCTGCCCCGGGAGTCCCTCGAGGGAGGAGCCGCCGCCGCCGCCGCCGCCGCCGCGAGACGCCTCACTCGCTCTGACCCGCAGGCGCCCCGCGGGGCCCCCCGTCGCCCCTCCGAGCTACTTACCGGCTGGCCTCCCGGCGGCCCCCGGGCTGAAGGGAGCGGGCCGCGCCGCCAGGAGCCCCTCCCGGGTAACCGCCCCGCCTACCTTCCGGGCGCCCCGCCAACTCGCCGGGGCCGCCGCCGGCCCGCTTCGCCTTGTCCCGGCGAGCAGAGGCGCCTTCGCTGTCCGCGGAGAGGAAGCCTGGCGAGAGGCAGGAGAGGCGAGGGGGCGCTCCGGAAGGCCCGCCCGCCCGCGCCCCGCCCGCCCGCCCCCCGGCCCGCTCGCCCACCTGCCTGCTGGAGCAGCGGCTGCATGATGAGCCGGTACTGCAGATCTGCGAGGAGAGAGGGCGGAGAGGGCGGGGTCAGGGCGGAGGGGGGGTCGGGGCGGCCCCGCCCCCTCCCCTCCCCCTCGCCCGCACCCTGGTTGCGCCGCTTCAGCCGGTCGACCTCCTGGTGCAGCTGCCGGAGCGTCTCGCCGTGTTGCTGCTGCAAGAACTGCAGGCTGCGCTCCAGCTCGGGGGCCGCTCGCCTCGCGGGGGGCGGGGGCGGCGGGGGGGCGTCGGCCAGGCCGGGGGCGCCGAGCGCGAAGGGCCGGCCGGGCCGCTCCGCCTGCCCCGCGCGCGGCCAGTGCGGCAGGTGGCCCAGCGGCGGGAAGCCCGAGCCCTGCATGCGCTACCAGCGCCCGGGGCGCATCGCGGGGAAGCCGAGCAGGGC